AGCCGCCCCGTCACCGCATCACCCGATGCTCGCCCGCCCACCGCGCGCCGGCACGGCGTGGGAGCGCTTCCCCGTGCTGGGGAAGGCATCAAGCTGTCCACAGCATCTCCCAGAAGGGGACAGAGGGTGGCTGGGGTTGTCCCTGCGGTGAGAGGGGAAGGTGCAGGGTTGGCGTGTGATGTTGGGGCAGCCTCTTTTGAGTCATCCTGCAGTTCATGCTACCAAAGACAAGTCCAGGATAAGGAGGCACAGCCTTAATGCACCAACGCTGGGGAAGGCAGCTAATTGACTGTGGTTCTATGCAGTGTGTGCTGCAAGAGGGCTGCTGCTAGAGCTGTCAGTGTTGTGGTTCAGCAAAAGGGGACATACGAGGGAGGCCATGCACGGTCAACCGCTGTAGACCTGCAGTGCAAAGAGGAGATGCCTGCCCGTGAGCATCAAGCCACCAAGCGTGGCACAAAGCCACCCTTGCGCTCTGTGTCCTGGCTGCTGGCTCAGCCATAGGCGCGAGGGCTGTGCTGGGCTAGTATCATGTTGGTGCTGTGGTCCTGGGTTGGGGGAGGCCATTGGGAAATCTGGTAGCCATCACCTTTGCACATCCACTGTGTGTGCAAGGAATTGTGTTTGGGTCATGTGTCAGTGTGTTGGCTTGTCTGGCATTGAAAATGGTCGGTGTCTTTGTGGTGGTGGGTGAAGGAGTTTGGGGAACACAGTGTCCTGGTCACCCCCAAAGCTTCGTACCTTGGAGGGTCCGTTTCCACACCACCAAGGCTCAGCCACGTGCATGCCAACCTCTTCCTGCTCGAACCCTTTTCCTATCCCTCACAGTGCTATCACCCATGCTTAGGGATTGGTTGCTGGGTCTGGGAGGCCCCAGGTTGGAATCAGGAGGATATGAGGTGATGAGGATTGTTCATCTGGTGACTCTCAGAGCAAAGTACCCAACAGACAGCGCTGTGTGCAGCGCAGGATCTGCTGGGAGGGATGTACTAAATTATGCAATTAGCATATTGATGAGTTTAATACTTACTCTGGCTTCCTAAGCTCAGGATCCTGGAGGGCTTTAGGAAACCTGATGATCTTAAGTGTGCTTAAAGGGACCTTAAGGGTGCTTAAATGAACCTCTGTAAGCACCACGAGTGCACGGTGTGGCTGCTGGGGTGGTTGCTCTGCTGGAGGCTGGTGGGACCCTGTTTGCCCTTCTCTGGAACATCAGGCTGTTCAGCTAAAGAGTCACTGTGAGGAGGAGAGCAGTGCTGAGCACATCTGTTCTACACCAGCAGTGACAGTGACATGGAGCTGGGCCAGTGCTCCTGGGGTGGTCACCTCCTCTGAGCACCAGATCAGCGTGGAGTGAAGGTCTCGGGAGCAAGTGCTGGGTGCCCTTGTCCCCAGCCATGTGCCTCAGCAGACTTTGGGGTGTTGCACCCTTGCAGGAGCCCCATGTCCCCCATAGCATGGCTTCACAACACCAGTGTTGCATTTATCATTGCAGTTATGTGGGGAGCAGCTCAGATTTGCTGCCTCTTGCCTGATCTCCTCTGGTGCCTAATCAGAGCACCGTGGTCCCAATCTGGAGGTGGGTCTCCTTCCCCTCTGATGCTGGCCACTGCGCAGAGCAAAGGCTGGGGCAGTCCTAGCACCATGATGAGTTTATTCCCTGCACATGGCCCCGCCACACTTGTTTATTCATCCAAGGGTGAGCATGGAATGACCCTGAAATTTATAGGCTGAAGAGAGCAGTGAAATAACAGCTAAAATAAACAAATCAAGCTGTAAAGCTTGAAAACTATGAACTGGCTTCAACAAATTGGAGTTGGGAGGGAGGGAGAGCAGAGATGGTGTGGGGAGATGTGGTCCCCGGGGTCTTAGCATGAGCTCAGGAGCTGGGCAGTGTGAGGGTTTGACCCATGGGCCTCGCAAGCCTTCATCCCCGTCCTGTTTCAGTGGCACTGTGGAGATGCTCACCTCACGCTGTTTGCACAGAGGCTCAGTGTGGCTGGCTGAGTGTTTGAGGCAACTCAAACAGCCGAGGGGAAGACCAAGTGGTGAGGGTGCAAGGCTGCAGTGCCACTGGGCTGAACACCAAATCCCATCCAAATCCAGCCTCTCATCTTTCAAGTGATCTGAGCACCCCAGTCACATGCATATGGTTGGTTGCCCAGGTTTTAGCACCGTGTTGAAAGATAGTCCTTGAAGAGGAGCATGAGGCTGATCCTGAGTGCTGGGAAAGCACCATGTGTGAGCTCCAGCAAGGTAGCATGATGCCCAAATGAAATCTGAACTGGTTGCCCTACTACTCTGTAACTCCAGGCTCCAGTTCTCCCTTGGGTTTATTGTGGGCAAAGCTGACTTAGTAAAAATAGTCAGCATAGGGTGTCAGGGAAAGGGCTCAAGAGCCTGTTGAGCACAGAGCCCCATGGGAGTTGTCTTTGGAAAGCGGGATTTGAATCCCATTCCACACTGTGCAAATTCTAAGATCTTTGGAGTGGTGGCTGCCATCTAAACAGCAGCCCGGGCAGCTGCTGCAGCAGCAAGTGCACAATGTGTTCAAGAGCCCAGATTCCCAGCAGCAAGCAGTGGTCCAGCACGCTCCTCTCTGATGAAGAGGGTGTCCTTTAGGTTCACCAGCATAAACCAGAGGGGTGCAGTGTGTGGTGAAGCGATGGGACATAGTCATTGCCTGGTTGACATGCATGTTTTGTGTCCAGGTTGCTGTCCCCCCGGCCCAGCCTGCTCAACACTGCCAGTGATGCCAGGCTGAACTCCTCGCCACAGAAGCCACTGGACCTGAAGCAGCTGAAGCAGCGTGCTGCTGCCATCCCTCCCATTGTGAGTACCCCACTGGAGAGGGCTGGGACTGGGAGCACAGTGGCTGTGCGTGCCTCCTGCATGCTGTTCCATCAGGCTGCATCGCCTGCATGGTGTGTGGTAGGCTTGGAAGGGTGCGTTCATCCCTGTAGATGGCAAAGCTCATGGTCTGCACAGAGCTGTGCCTGGGCAGCGTGAGCTCGCCAGCAGGCAAGGTGCTCTCTGTGCCGAGTGTGTTCCCAGCTGCTGGAGCAGCTCTGCCAGCAACGTTTGGATGTCCCTTGAGCTCTTTGATCAGAAAGTCGTGGGAGGTCTGGACAGAAAAAGCTTCTCATTGCCACATGACTGCTGCCTCCCGTTGCTTTAAAAAGCGAGGGTGCACCTTCCCAGTGCTTGAAGGATACCGCCTAAGAAGTGTTTATGCTCTGCCTCATCCAGAAGCTCTGCTTGATCCCCCTTTTTGGCTACCCCATAGCCATGTACTGAAAGAACATGTATTCTCTGAGGCTGGTGGTTCCTCGTGATGCAGTGGCTTGGGCTGCGACAAAAAGCACTCTGGTATCCCCAGGGTCTACACCAGAGGAGCAGCAGCACAGGGTGGGCAGGGAGAAAATCTGGGTTCTGAGTACTCAGGGAGGATCCATTCATGACGATCTT